ACGTCATCCAGTTGTTAATACTGCATCACTGTGTGATTATCAAAAATAAACTTATCTAATATGGAATTACATTCTACTACAGTGCCCAAGTTCTACACTTACAAATAATTGAATAACTTAAAAATTCATTACAAACTAAGAATTGAGCATAATTTTCAAATGACATAGTCACTATACTTTTTTATTCCTTCACGTTCCCAGTGGAACATAGGGCTTCAAGCTAGAGGCTTGAAGTTTCGGTAGCAATTATCTGTTATTTTAACGGGATGGAGTTGCTAGTCTCATGCCCAACCTTCCCTCTTTACCAGTCTTATTACTGGCTTACCGAGGTAAAGGAGTGCGTTGGGCGGGGCTCGAGCCCCAAACCATATGCGTAGTCGGCGAGCATTCTACCGCTGTGCCACCGATGCACCACTATACTTTAGGAAGGCTACGCAATATACCTTAAGCACTAACTGCTTGTATAATTGCGCTGTACAACGCTTGTGGAGATTTTACTCATAAGCATTCTGTACTTTCATCATGAGTTGACATCGGTTAGAGAACCATTGAAAAACCTCGGAGTACTGGACAGACGTTTCGTCCTAGTTTGGGACTCTTCATCAGTACGCACCCACCGCCAGGGGTTGAACCCAGGACCTTCTGGTTACAAGGCTAGCGAGCTCGTAGACCATTGAGCCACTGGGACCCGACTCAATGGTCCTAAACTAGGACGAAATAGCTGTCCAGTACTCCGAGGTTTTTCAATGGTTCTCTAACCAATGTCAGCTCATGATGAAATCCTGTAACCAATCAATCAAAATCCCTACAAACCAATACTTGAATATTCTTTACTTTGTTTAGGATGTGAAACCGATTATATGATTCTCATCCTCAGACAGATGTTATAACATTATTACGTGTATTACATGCGTATATTAGACGTGTCTCTTACCTCTGAGATGTTGAACACCAATGTACTTGAGTTTTACAAAGAATAGTGTTTATCCAAGTTTTATCAAAACATTGGAAATCCTATAAAAGATATTTCAACTTGCGATCATCTTTCTTTGTTCTTTTGATCTAGAAATAGGGTTGGGCAAGACTGTTAAATAGGGTACACAGTGTTTCAGTATGGCTTTTTTAGTTTTTATGCTTATAGGACCACAAATGTTGGCACTTCTGTGTTAGATCAATGTATTATCTATTTGTTTGTGTGCTAAAGCTACCATGTTAGTCATTTCGAAGTCCTGGTTGTATTTTTGTCCTGTTAGAAATCATGATATAACATTTATCTCAATTATTTGGACATATACTTTATTTTTTCTAGGTAATTGATGCTGATATGAAAATTTTATGCCAACTAGGAAATAAAATAAATAAATATAGCTCAATAACCGAATGCATGAAAATGCACATAGTCTTGAATGACGTTTATTGTGTAAAGGCTAATGGTAACACCTTTGTTCCATTTGGTTGCATTCCGACTCGAACATAGGACCCCTAACTTTTAAGTTTCAGTAGCTGTGGTGTTTTTGTACGGGTGGGTGGAAGAAGAATTGAGAGCCTGACTCCCAACCTTCTTTTCCCGAGCATTCTACTATTGGACTACCGAAGCACAAATGATAAAGCCTAGATCCTTAAATATCTAGATGGAACAGGGATGATAAAAGTCAAATATCAACTACCCTGAATCAATAATCCATGACTCTATTCCAAAACTATCTGGAAGAAATAAAAGTGGAATTTGCTTATGGTTCACCCAAAAAAGGAGATGGTTGTATTATCGTTATTGTCCAGGAGTTACCCGACTCAATAGTGAACTGTACATACTACTACTAGTAATAATAGTGATAACATCCTATAACTGAGCTGAATGTTACACACCCGATGATCCCATCACATACCACGATAGGAAAACCATGTCAACAAAGTGCATTCCTCTAGCATACACTTAGCACTCAGAAAGAAAGCGAATTGTTAGTAGCTCAAAATGCATCGTTTATTAATACATGCTTTTACATTCGTGTGTGTGTGTGTGACAGGTACTATGCTTGTAGGTAAACTTTTCAGTTTCTTCAACTGCCTTATTTCCCATAACCAAACTGGGCATTGATTTTTTGATGAATGAAAAACTTATTATTTAATTTAATTATGACAACAGACAGTATATAATAATTATTCACTGTTTAAAAACTCAATTACATGCTTTTTCATAGACATATTTTTCTACATTTTAATTCTATTTTATGTTTTTCAGGTAAACATGAACATTGGTTTATTGCAACTAAATCAAGTCTCATATGATAAAAAATATTTCAGTGTGTATATATTGTATATTAGTAAACTTGTACAGCAAATGACTTTGTACTGCATTTTTATTTTCTATTGACTGAAGAATATATGATAGTCTCCACGTACCCTTACTTTTGGAAGACATTTTGGTGGATTCGTGTTCTGAGTAGAAATTCTAGCACAGCGTTTTTGCTTGGTCTTATATGCTGACTTGCATTTCCCGTTGATTGATTATTTTAGACCGAAATGTTCGATCTCTGTTGACATATCCTGTCTTAGTGAGACGATGGATGGAGGGTTCGAACGTCACTGAGAACATAATCTCTGAATGCAGAGATATGGGCATATCTAGCCAATGAGTTCCAAATAGGACAAAGTGCTCATCCTGGACTTCACTGCTGGTCACAATCAACCAAAAATAAACCTTCTGTGTCAGAGAATGCTAGTTTTAATCCCTTTGCTACCAAAATTTTCACTCTAACTTCAGTTTTCATTCGATCACCCGCCAAAAACTAAGTTTGTCTCACATATTCTATCATTTAAAATTTTTGTGTAGCGCAGAATTTGTGCAAGTGAAATCCATTCACAATCTTTATAATTCTAATGGTTATATGTCAGAGTTGAATTCATTTATCGCTGTATATGTAAATAAATGGGCAGATTTTCTAAGAATTATGAAAAATTGCTGTAGAGTTTATGAGTAATCACAATATTTGGTGGTCGCGCTAAATCACGAATTGGTAGAAGTTAGAATTCATGGACTGGCCATTGAATCGGGTCCCGGTGGCTGAATGGTATACGAGCTTGCCTTGTAACTAGTAGGTCCTGGGTTCGAACCCGAGTGGATGAGTACTGCCGATGATCCCCAAACTAGGATGAAACAGCTGTCCAGTACTCTCTGGTTTTCAATGGTTCTCTAACTGATATCAATCCGTGATCAAATTCGTAAAAACAAATCTAATCCTTACAAACCAATTCTTCACAATATTTAATAATAAAAATATTATTGCTTGCAATTATGACATCAAGCGTAGTAGATCTTTGCACATTTCGTTAGATTGTCTAATCCTCTAAGATTTTGAAGATATATTGATTTTTCTCCCACAGAGATCCTTCTAACTCACAGCTTTATTTGTTCTTTTACAATAAAATTTGTCGACCAACAGTTAATACTGATTGTTCACTGAAGTTTTGATGTATTGTACATAATAGGCGAATAAATCAATGAAAAAGCTGGACGATTTGGATATCCACGATTTTGATTGATCTATTAATTTACTAGGTAATTGGAGATATGTCGCAGTTTGTTAAAAATCGAACCTCGTGGTGACTTTTGGGCAGTAACCACTGCAGTAGTTATGATGGCTTCGATGATAAGAAACAAAGACAATGCGATTTTCATGCGTAAGAAGTGATGTGCATAGTTTTAACAATTTGAAGCCGATTGGGGATAAAATGAAAAAAGTATAAAAAGAAATATTGATGAAACTAGTAGTCACAACAAAGCTAAGAGGGAATTTAAGACTTTCACAACGTTGTTGTATCAAGATTGCACGTTTTAGACGCTACATAGGGTTCTTAATAGAGTGGGAACTATGATGTCATCCATATCTACAAACTCTGCGGGCTAGATGATCTTAATGACCCAATTAGACGGAATATTTTACAATGGCTGTGGGGTCAACTATGTAAGTCAATTCAGTAGATCGGAGTCAGTTGGATTGTCGGAACATGGGAACTAAGCTAAGTGTAGAGTGGTTGGCCCCAAAAATGACTAACTTAGAAAAAGCTCAGCTATCGCAATGACTGCACTAGCACACAAAAGGATAGGACAAAGTTACAGTTCTAAAAGGTGAAGGGAGTGATTAATAACTGAGTCTTTGTTCATGGAATGCACACCGGAAAAGGGCTATAGGAATTGCGTAACACCATTACTGAAAATATTATCACCAATAAAATCAAAGCATGAGAAATCACAGAACTATATAAACGAGATTTGAAAGCTATGTGAATACCTGCCTTAAATATTAGTAAGTAAATAACACTGCATCACTGTGTGTTGTATCAAATAACATTATTCCTACTATGGAACGGTGAAGCTATTCATATATTTAAAACAATTAATTAGAGCAAACATTTCGTCAACCGTTTAGCATTAAAGTAATCCAACCTCTGATTTCTAAGCTCAGTCTAACACTAGGTTGCCCCTTTAGAAGAACGATTTCAGTTTGCTACAAGTGTACTGTAAAACTAAGCATTTTTTCCTATTTCTAAATGAAGTAGAGAGTAGTTAAGGAATCAAATACATTAAATATGTCGAGAGGTGTTCTTCAACACATTTTCTGAATCATTGTTACTTTTAACTGTGTTACTAAGGTGGAACCAAATAAGGTCTTATTACGGATACCTTTTACTGGCATACATGAAATAACATTACTAATTTAATATTAAAAAGACCAAAAGAAAACTGAAGAAGTCTTTTTCCAAGTTGATCGATATTTTTTTTAATGATAAAAATACCATAGTCTATTCAAACTGTGCATTAAATGATGATTGATAATTGCAAGAATATTAATATATTAATTTACAATAACATTCCTAGTAGTACAATCCCTATTAAATCTCTATTACAATAATCAGTAAAAGGATCATAAATAGAATGTAGCGATAAATATTTTTGAATGAATTATAGATACAATGGACAATTGTGTAAAGAATAGTAAGCGTTAAACATCTAGATTCATTAAGAGTGCAGTACTTCTCTTCGTCCAATGTTCTGGTGGTTTTTCACCGGTTTTCAGTTCAACTCCAATCATAAATGAAGGTTTATCTGCTGTACCAGCTCGGTTCGGATAATAGTAACACGGAGCCACGTATATGTCTGAAAAAGTATAAAATGTTTTATTATGTGAACAGTAGCTGATATTAACTTAACTTTTGTAAATACATACGTACTACTGTTACAAAATGTCTTAAGAAGTATTCGCAATCATTCACCATCCAGTTGTCTAGTGATTTTTCTAAATCAAAAGGAAATTCTAAGTCATACATCAAACATTCAACGTTATTTCATATACTTGTTCCTCTTTGTGAATTTGAATGAAGCAAAAACAAGTGTCTGTGCAGAATAAGATGGTACCATCATTTATTTCGTCGGCTCCCCATCATCTGAGTACAACCTGAAGGATTAATGAAGTTTATGTGCAGAGAAATCTTAACGTACCTGATAAGGTGACGTAATGTCAGTTAGCAAGGGACCCCAAAATTAATTACATATAGACAGAAGCTTTAACTTTAAACAAATTAAGTGTTTAATTGGTGGATGGTGACTAGCATAGGAATCCATCAGGATGCGCATTTCGTCCTATTTGGGACTCGTCACTGAATGTACTTGCATTCCTCAGTGAGTGATGATGTTCCCACCGAGGCTCGAACCTAGTTCCCATAGTTTCAAACGCCAAAGCGTTATCCACTTAGGCCACGAGAGCCACCTCTTGTGCAACGGGTCATATTAATTATTTAATTCAATTTTCCTGTCGATTGATTGAAGTTATTGCAGAAGTTATATAGGTGTAACTTTTGAACACTGTGTATTGATTCTAGAGTCTTCTGTTAAATGATGTCATGTCACCTTTGCAAGTACGTTAAAAAATCTCTCTGAACAGAAGCTTAATAATTTTTTTGGACTGTATGCAGTTGATGAGAAGCCGACGAAATAAATCATAGTACTATTTTATTCTTTACAGGTAGTTACTTTTGATTTACTCAAATTCAATATTCTGGTATGAAATTTTGTTGCCCTGAAGCAACTAAGAAAGGTTATTATCTTTCGGTTTGTAGGTGATTATAATTTAAGTTACCTATAGTTGGTAAATAATAGAAGTAGAATAACTGAATATAAGTCAAAACGCAAAGATTTTATTGCTGTTATATCTGCTACTCGGGGTAATTGATGACAAATTATGTTTCAAAGCGTCCCCAGGTTATTATATCACAAGTTTTAAATAAGTATTTGTTCAGACATTTATAAAGCACAAAATAATTGAGCAAAGAATATTCTCCTTTCGATAATTTCCTCTTCTGGCTCTACAATGATTTGTATATGTTTATATACATAGAATATCCTAGATTAGTAGTCAATAACAATATTAGTGTTTTTTTAAATAATATCGATTTGTACAGTAAAATCACAATGGAATTACAGTTCATTAAAGATGCTTAAATTATAATAATAAAGATATAATAGCAAATAGAATATCAACTAGAATTAGGAAAATTCCACAAAGATTCAGGATTATTCAAACCTAGATGACCAAGGTAAGGATAATGTCTGAACTGGCTTCTTTCGGACGCACAAAATAGGCTTCTGAATGTGGATCCCAACAGCCTCAGCCATATTTAGTAATCGAACTCTTAAGGCGAAATTAAGATTTGTTGGTATGCGGCAAATGACCCTGAAAGCCTGGTTAACATCACTCTTGTGTTCTGTATCCACAAGATGAGATAGAATAGCGCTACGAATAGATTTTGTTTGTCCTTTACTTAACCACGCAGGGTGATGTTAGGAAATATGAGGAGAAACACGCCTAATTGTACGGTCTATGGAACTGGCTCCACAAGAGCAGTTAAATTGGTAGATACACCTTTATGAGGCACAGTTAGGCAGTTTGTGTTTTACTCCCGAACGCAAAAGAGGAGGGGTTTTGAAGACACAGTATAATTCGGCAGCAGGGAATGCTCTTTTTACCGCATTTCTAAGGCTCTGTGTTAGTATCTCGCTGATGTTGTCCAAGGAACTGCATTTGTAAGAATAAGGCCTTTTTAGGAACTGTTGGTACCTTGGGCTGCTTTGATTTTAGATTCATATTCTTATCATTAAACTTTTCTGGATAACCATTTTCACTCAGCAACCGTTTAGTATTATTAAGTTGCTCATCAAGACATTCATCCGAGGAGATTGCTCTGTGAACCAAGCACTTTATCAGATTGTGTTTGTATTTCAAGGGCACGAAGCTGAAAAAAATGAGTATACTGACCAGTTGATGTAGGTTTTCTATATACATAGTAGAGTATTGATCATAGACATTCGGAATCTAGAATATTCTATGTATATTTATATATATATATATATATTCTATGTATATATATATATACATATATATATATATAATTGTAGAGCCAGAAGAGGAAATTATCGAAAAGAATATTCTTTGCTCAATTATTTTGTGTTTCATAAGTATTTGTCGTCACTACCAAGTATATATTACGTCCATTTTGTTCTTAAATGTAGGAAAAGTGTTTTAAGCGGATATAATCTTGAACTCCCAAAATAGTTTCATTTTTAGGAAGGAAAACTTCAGATCAATTTGAAGAAGCAATTGAATTATTTGTATTTTATGAAGGCAGATATGAAGTTTTCTCCTTAATGTCTCGTCTCGTTGTCGTCTTCTTCAACCAGTGAAATAAAACACAGCTACACAAAAGACTTAATAATCGTATTATGCCTTACGTGTTACAGCTCAAGTAAGGCAAACGAATTTCTGTTTTTTTTCATTCGGTTGTGTTTCTTGAGCTGTTTGATTTAATTGTAAAGCTTTTGTCGTCCCTCTAGACAACATCTTCAACGCAAGCTTTAATATGAAGTAAACCTATTTGAATTCTCTATGAGTGTTATAATTATATCTCCTGACAATCTTTGTCGCGATTGGTTATTGTCTAGAAGGATGTCGAAAGCTTCGCAATTAAATCAACCAGCTCAGTGAACACAACCAAATAGAATTAATCCACGTGAGCTAAAAATTTTCTCTATTACTTCGGATTTCCGTGTATTTTTATATTTAAGTAGGTGTGAACATATCAGTTGGATCTGCTTCTTGTAACTCATGAAGTGAAAAATGAAAGCTTACTTTGATTGGACACTAGATATTAAGTGACAAATGTGTCGCGTCTAGTCCTTTGTTTGCTGCAGAATGAATTCTATCAGCCACCACAATAGGTGACACACTACTATGGTGCACTTTAAAATGTTGTTTTTATTAGGTGGTTGGAGGCAATCGGCTGGGAGCCTTGCCTTACCTAGGTTTCGTGCTTGTTGACACTTGTCAGCAAGGTGTATCTACAGTCTTGAAGGAATTCATGTCCTCTCTGATATTCTCCCCCGTGTCAGATAGTTTTGCAGTCCGAGATGTTACCACTGAGCTATTCGCGCTCGTGTCTGTCCTCCTGCACGACTGTACTGAATACTTTGATTGGACACTAGGTAATAAGTAGTTCGTGGCATGCTTCTAATTCCTTGTTTGGTGCAGACTGAATTCTGTCAGTTAAGTTTGCCCACGTTCACATACACTGTAACTGTTTAACGCGAAAATTCCCAATCACGAAAGATATAATTTTCATGAAAGAACAAGTTTTGGTGACTCTAAACTACAGCAACCCAAAAGGAAATAACCTAATGGACGGATTAATGACCTTGACGAATTTATGTACAGAAATTGGTTTAACCTGACTATAGGGACTCCTGTGAGAAACTGGGAGGTTTTCTTGGAACATATGCACGAATATTATCCTATATAACCACTTTTAACATTGCATTACTTGTATATATAGACGTTTATTTCAAATTACGCACTTTTACTTCTGACGCATCTGATTAGTCGCTAGAGGTTTTTTTCTAGATAGCTTCAATTTGGGATGCTATAGTTTAGAGTCACCCAAGTTTTTAAACAGTTTCGTATAAATTATGTAATACACGAAAAGTTAGCGTATTCATTTTGCTTTTTTCTCATTCATCAGAAGAAAAAAGTATAACCTGTCATTGCCAGACTCTAGGGAATATTAAAATGTTTTTTTTGATGTGGTTGTGTTCTCTGAGCTGGATAGTTAATTTGCGAAGCTTTCATCACCCTACTAGGTGACATCTTCAGTGCATACTTCAATTTGAAGTGAGCTTTTAGATTTCTCCACGAGTTTATTAATCATCTCTCCTGGTGACCTTGGACGACAACCAATCACATCCAAGGTCACCAGGAGAGATGATTAATAAACCCGTGGAGAAAACTAAAAGCTCACTTCAAATTGAAGTATGCACTGAAGATGTCGCCTAGTAGGGTGATGAAAGCTTCGCAAATTAACTATCCAGCTCAGAGAACACAACCACATCAAAATCATCCACCTGGGCTACAAATCTTCTCCAACATATAAAATGTTTATAAGATTTAGGATTCAAGTTTAGGATCTGTGACGTTAATACACGGAATAAATCTTGACTCATAAAGTTAAGTATGAAAACACCTTATCTTACATCATTCCAATGTATTAGTTATGTTTATTTAGGTAATCAATGATGCAATTTCACGTAGTCAACATCACACATGGTCATGTATACTTTGATTGGACACTAGTAGCTAGTGCGATGTGTCTAGTCCTTTCTTCGGTGCAGACTGAATTCTATCAGTCAGGTTTGTAATATGGCCGCTAGACACATCGCACTAGTTACTAGTGTCCAATCAAAGTATCCACTACAGTCCTACAGGAGGTCAATCGTGAGCCCGGAATAGCTCAGTGGTAACGTCTCTGAGTGAAGGCGGCACTGGGTGACGCGGGTTCGAATCTCACAAGGGACTTCAAGGTTGCAGATACGCCTTGCTGACTGGGGAGTGCCAACTAGCAGGAAACCTAGGTCGGCCTGGCTTCCTGCCGATTGCCTCCAACCATCTAATATGGTCATGTATAAAACAACTAATCCTACGCCTATCAGTAAGTTAAAATTTAGTTATTCTCTTTAAATAATAAAAGAACTATCAATCATAATAAATAATTTTTGAATTACTTTTAGGTGATTTCTTTTTATTTTCAACTGGTTTAAAGTGTACACCAGGCATTGGACAAACTAATTGCATTGGTGCAGCTTCAATTAGGCAATAATTTTTTCTATCCCATCCAGCACCTTGTAGATATAAATTACTAATATAAACACCGTCTTTTGGTGCAACTAATACATTTGCATCACTTGTTGCTAGTACAGTAAATTCCCAGCTTAAACTATCTACAGAAACATTATTCTTTCTTGCTGCTGTTTGTAGAACAGCTGTAAGAAAACCTGTTGGAAAAGTGAATGCACCAATCCAGAATAATTTTGGTTGATGTGCTGTACGCGCCCATTTAGCGAATAATTCCACTCGAGCGGCTAAATCTCTAGACCATGAACCTAATGGTTTCATTGAAGAATATGTCTAAAATGTTAAAAAAAAATATAAAAGTTATATAAATATACAAGTTTAAATAAAGCGAATATGAAAATTTTCACTAATAGACAGACTTTAAAGATTTAAATTAAAAAGACAATTGCAGCGAAGAAAATTTTATTTTCGACGAAGTGAAGCGCCGACTTGAAAAACGCGCTCGCGAACACTACCCAGCCTGGCTAGTAAAAGGAGACCAAAAACGTGTATACAGCTCAGTGACAGAACATCTGGTCAACTCAGGACATTCAGCGCCTTTCGAAAAACCTCAAAGTAATATACAAGATTCAATCAAACCTATCAAAGGGAGTGAAATCAAGACATCTGGGCATAGCTGAGGCGTAGCTATCCAAAAACTCAAACCCACCCTTTGTATCCAAAAGAAATACGTCCAACCGCTTCTCTGCCATGGCCATCATAAACGGGTAAATTTTTTTAGCAATGACCATCCCATCGCCTTTCTTGTCTAAACTTCCCGTTTATTCATGTTATTTTAAGTTTTTCTTAATCCCTGTCTACACTACCATATTTTCATATCCACTCTTCCTGTTTATTTTGTCATTTTACTATTTCTACATATTTAATCCCTGATTGCATGAACAATTATTTATCACATTAGTTTTTTTATCCAAACATCCTATCTATTTTGTTATTTCTACATTCCTAACCCCCAATTGCACAATGTCAATCGTCTCAGTCCCCCTGTTTATCATGGCATTCTAATTCCTAATTGTAATTTTTAATAATTTGACCCTTAACCGGAAATTATTCTAGAACTTTCCCATCCATTTGATATAAATACACGAATGTACAGCCTAGATGATGACTTCGTCGAAAAGAAAATTTTCTTCGCTGCAATTATTTTTTAATAACTCCTATGACCCAATGTGTATATTCCGAGATTTAAATTAGTTTTCTATACTAACTAACATCATTGGAAAGCCAACGAACACGAGGCTTGATTTTCATGACTGTTGGGATATATGTTGTCATTCAGCCGGCAAAACTGCAGAATCTAAAGCTTTCGAACTCAAGCCGATTAACACGTACACTCAATCTTTGTTTGATCGCACCTCACAATTATTAATAAAATAGTCAGTTGATTAAATTTCCAACCAAAGAGCGATTAGGTAGGCGATAGGAGATCTTGAATACCACGAATTTCTTCTTAACTTAACAAAGAATATTATAAATCTGCAAGTTTTTTTTATTCCTTCACGTTCCCAGTGGAACATAGGGCTTCAAGCTAGTGGCTTGGAGTTTCTGTAGCAGTGTTTATTTTTACAGATAGGGTTGCTAGCCTCATGCCCAACCTTTCCTCTTCACCAGCTTTATTTCTGGCTTAGTGAGGTAAAGGAGTGCGATGGCCGGGGATCGAACCCCGGACCATATGCATGGTCGGCGAGCGTCCTAACCGCTATGCCACCGATGCAACAGTTTAACTTGACTGAACTGACTAGAGTAATAAAGAAAATGATAACTAGAGGTTACTTGCTCACTAGGAGGTTACATTCGAGATTCGGAAAACCATCTCTGTTAGTACTTACCTCCTAGCAGTTGAATGAAAGGTATGCTTGATTTGTTGATTTAACAATACGGATGAGGCTATTCATATTGCTACATTATTCATCCTCTTAACAGCATTCTGGAAAAACAGCAGCTTAGCATGTAGTTCATCTTAACACATTATCACAAATGATGCGTGCACGCATTCATTAGATCTGACTATAAGTAGCAGCAGCGCATCTGTATATCTGCTATTTCTCCCTCTTCAAATGTATGATGATACTACAGGACTGACTTGTAGAAGCAGCGAAGTTGTAAAAAACGTTAACTACTTAACTTATTACAGGATTTTCATCATGAGCCAACATTAGTTAGAGAACCATTGGAAAACCTGCTGGGAGTACTGGACAGCTGTTTCGTCCTAGTTTGGGACTCTTCATCAGTACGCACCCACCACCAGGGGTCGAACCCAGGACCTTCTGGTTACAAGGCGAGCTCGTAGACCATTAAGCCACTGGGACCCGATCCAATGGCCAGCCCATGAATTCCAACTTCTGCCAATTTACGACATAGCGCGACCCCTAGCCAATGTCTTCGGCGAGTATTTGTCCTCACACCCGACCTGCTGCACCCTACTGGTCACTTAACTTATTATTTATAAAGTTGCTTCACTCCCAACTGACTAGTTGAAAAACGGAATCTAAGCACTGATAAAAACTTGCTTCATCAAAGTAATTAAGGGACCTATCAAATAACACATATAGTCAGCCTCATTCCACTCTCTCCTTCTTGACAGCTATAAGAAAATGGAGGCCAAGTATATGAAGAGATTATACGCTTTTGGCAATTTCTTGCATGTGATAAAACCAAATGGTAATCTTAGAATTAGATGTAAGCGAACCAGTCTATTTAGTTGTAAATATTCACTTTAGTCCTGCAGAGCCACCAGCTCCCCTAACTGGTAGTACTGAGTGATATTCACGAGTGTTGCAGTGAAAATGTTATATTTCTAAGTTGAGTATATAGGGAAGTCAATGATTGCTTGAAGTGAGTCCTCTACATGTTAAAAATCTATGGAGACTTAGTCAAATGGTGCATTTTAAGAACTACCTCACTATAAATGACTTTTCATTATGTTTTTTTTCAAATTACCAGTTCAGTAATGAGCTGAGTAAGTTTTTCTAGAAATTAGGTAATGTTGTCAAGACATCTAAATGCCGACTTGAGGACAATTAAACATTGATAATACACCATAAGATTATGAAAAAAGTGTAATATTGTATTACCTTACTCCATTGTTCTGGAACATGTCCATCAAAAATTGAAGTGAATATCTGCTCCAATTCTGAGGACATAACAACCAAGCCTTGAATACCTTTGTTTAAATCTGACAGTTGACTACGTATTAAACCAAGAAGACGGTTGTAACGTTGTATTTCTTGTAGTAGAACAACTACCAGTGGTGAATGATCTGTTGCAAATATTTTCACAGTGCCTTCATAATCAATATCTTCAGGTAATTGCTTTTGAAGGTTATCAATTAATTCAAGTACTTTTTCTTCACGTGAAACACCAGTACCTTGTGATGTCTAAAATAATAGTAATTATATAACATGGTATACTGATATATTTTTAAAAAATATTATGGCATTGTAAAAAGAACCTAACAGACAGGCAGAAAATTACGACTAGAGAACTGTGATTTTGATTTCTTCCTAACTGTAAGACTTTAGTATTAATATTTTTTAATATTATTTCTTTTTGCTTGAGTCCTGTGCTCTCTGAGTGGAACACAAAGCTTCAAGCTTGAGTTTTGAAGTTCTAGTAGCAGTGGTGTTTTTTTACAAGCTGGGGTTGCTAGACTCACGCCCAACCTTTCCTCTTCACCGGTCTTATTACCAGCTAGGCAACGTTTTCGAGTGCGTCGACCGGGGATCGAACCCCGGAACAAATGCGTGGTTGGCGAGTATTCTACCGCTGAATCACCGACGCACATTTTTTTCAAAATTAAAAACTTTATAAACTGTAATTCGTTTTAACTGGAGCTACTTCGTACTAATGTGTAATCTTTCTTCCAGTGTTTTTTTATCATTGTGATTATGATTATCCTACTTACAAATGAGCTTCTTGGTTTAGAACCTTACCACTTGTTTTCAGTTTGCTGATGTTCTGATAAACATCCGTGCAACATCCAAGACCATTCACTGAAGTGTTCATATGACTTCAAGCAAACTGTTTATACCTACCACTTCATCCGAATCATATGAATGACTAAACCGATTAATAATGACAACAAAACATCGACTTTAGTACAGCATAAATGCAATCAATGGTTATAGATTCACACGAACATAATTCAAAATCGTTCATGATGGCACAGATCTATTCAAGCTTTATCATCTTCGAAATTCTAATGAGATCACTACTCCTCAATAGACTATTCCCTCCCTCCTTTATCTATTGTAATGTTATCACATTTTTGTTGTCTTCTTTTATGTATGCCTTTTTGAAATGTAGCCGATTGAATCGATGTTCATCTGCACAAATTTTTATGTTGATACTCGTCAGTCAGTCACTAAGAGAATAAATTTAACCTTCATAAATGGATTACATCTTTAACATTCTAAAGTGTTCACTAATGTAATCAACACGATCGTCTAAGAAAAATTCATTCTACTTCTACGAGCTCCTAAGTCATAGAGTGATGCTTTCGTATAAGTTTTAAAAATATATTGCCAAAACTCGTTAAACTTGTCCAGAGAAATGACGAAAGAGACAGAAGACAGTATAGTGTAAACCTGAGATATTATTTATATGATATTTCATTAGTCACTAATATTCCTATGTATTTTATTTTTACTAGTCTCATTCCTTATCTGATAATATATAGTAGTTTGTTACGAAAGGAGTTTGAATGAAGTGACCCTTAAGCTCAAAGAGAAAGTTTATGGACATGTGTATTCATGTATCTGATAGGCAGGTTATATATTGAATGATGCACCCTCCTGATAATCGTATTCCATCTAGCCTGTAAATCTGATCAGTTAACAAGTAGATTTGATAACAGATACTTCTTGTTTTCATGACAGTTGTATGGTGTGTGTGTGTGTGGGGGGGTAACATAAAACACCCATTTAGCAAAGTGTTTCCGAAATAAAAGACTGTCATCATTATGTTATTATCATGGGAACTACGACCTCGTAGACTATGAGTGAATACTAACTTAATGCGCTGGCTGATCTGTCCTAATCGCACGTCAATAACAACAATGACAATAACACGGCACGCGCGCAAAGACAGAAGAGAAGACCGGACGTTGGAAAGAGAGCTTTAACTGTCTCAAAACAACAGTCAAAAAGGACCAACAGAGCATGTGTGTATATATATGGTTAAAATGACCTTGAGAAGCACTAATACCATTAATGAATTAGACAGTGGACAACCAATAGGATTCCAAAAGTCATAAATAGGGTGAGAGGAATTCAGGTCATAAATCAATAGGTGGGGCGAAAGGAGACAAACATACACGTAAAAATGACATGTAGGAAATTAAGTCTGTATATATCAAAAAGTATTGCATATAACTAAATGAATAGTGAAATAGGCTCACCTGTGGTTGCAATGAAAGCAGTGTATCTAACAGCATTCTTGTCTCTTGAATTTGTGAAGTAATATCTGCATTTGGATGTTGACCAAATGCTTCAGGATGATCAATTTGTGGTAGTAAAGAGACAAATTCTCTGTAAGCATTCAGCGTACCATCTCTTGGTATATAATAATGTGGTAATGATGATAGCTTGTAGAATGGTTCTTTCAACACTTCTTCTTTGAAATAATCACCTATATAGGTATTTAATAATCGACGATCCCAATCATCTGTTACATGACCACCATAATTAATATCTGCTATTAAATAACGCAGTGCATCCCATGCTGTTTCATCGTATTGTTCTAAATAATTTGTTAACAAATGTTCAGATACTTCAAAATCAGAATCATTAAATTCATATGGGATATTCCAGCCAAGCATTAAAAATTTTCTACGCTCTAGTAGAATAGAATGAAAATAGCATAATGCAAAGAGAAGTTTTTTATATTTCTCTGGTTTTTGACATGAAGAAAATTGATCCTCCTGTAAGATAAAAGAATAAAAACAAATTGATCACTTGTTATCTATTTAAATATAATACATATATCGAGATAGAGAGATTATTTTAATTCGTGGATAATTCCTGAAGAGTCTGTTTACAATGAATTTATCATCAAGCTGTGCAATCGTATATGAATATCACTTTTTTAAACAATAATGTGAATTGTGACAAAATAGTTAGTTATGTACTTCATAATATAGTTCATGAAATGTACATTAATCTCAAAGGGATGTAGAAATAATGGGACTAGTAAGCGATTAAAATATTGACTGACTGGTTTCAATGTAGAACTTTGCACAGATGTGCAGTAGTTCGAGTTGCCACACCCCATGTAGCACACATAGCAAGAGAAGAGAGATAATAAAGAGATATGGGGCAAAAAGAATAGTAAAATGGAAGAACAATATAATTTTATTTGGTATTATAAATTATAAAGAGTGAATGCATCTGCGCCATTGAGAACGATTTTGAGCCATATCATCTTACATTTGGCAGGAGCGAACCGCATGCCGAACATTCGAAGATTGCTGCTCAAGATGTTCAAAAGACTCTGCATTTACTCAGCGTCTTCACCTAGAAGGACTGTATCATCTGCATATTCTAAGTCAACGAGATTATTCCCCGGTAACAAGTCAATCCCTGAGTCGCTGAAGTCAGTTAGGGTTAAGTCAATTTGTACTTCTATGATGAAATTAAGTAGAAATGGGGATAGTGGACATCCCTGACAGACACCATTGGTTGTCACCACTTCAGATGACAACTCTCCGTAATCTCTCACCTGGCTGACTGCATGAGTTCGAGTAGAGTGCCTTGATCAGTGCAATGTATTTCCTCGACATTTCCGTCACAGACAAACATCACCGGAGTATCTCTCGGTCGACGGAATTGAATGCCGCCTTAAGGTCAAGAAATATGACGATTGTTGGACGCCAGTAAGTATGTCTATATTCCAGAATCTGTCGAAAGGTAAAGATATGATCAATACACCCTCTTCCTGGTCTAAAGCCTGCCCGGTTCTCTCGTGTTTGTTCCGCCCGAGAATCGCTTAGTTTATGCAAGATTATTGAGCCTAGAACTTTAGATACCATATTGGTTAAGCTAAGTCCCCTGTGATTATCACAGGAAGACTTGTCTTCCTTCTTGTATATCGGGATAATCAATGACTTTCACCAGCCCGACTATAAGAGAACAATGCAAAAATTATATTGAATTATATAAATGAGATAATGCCGGAAATTATTCGAAGGGGAATTGGTAATAACAATCGACATAATAAGGGAAAGATATGCAAATTGAATAAACAGAAAGAAAAATAAGTTGGGCCAAAGTATGAGTCGGGATTATCACACTTTAGTCTAGAACGGATTAAGACCATGTGAGTTGGAGGAGTTGAACAATCTTTTTCTGTATACGGACATCTAGATTTTCTGTTTCGATGGCCAAAGCTTCAGCAATACAGTTGCGTGGGATTTGGGCAAGTTATTTTTCGCCTTGTAGATAACCTTAAATGAAGAGACTGTAGAGATAAGGTGATCAGTGTCGACCAGATATTCAATTATTGCGCTTCTTATAGCCCAACTTCCACCTCTTCATAACCACACAGGATAGTGTTCTTGCATCCTCTTGGGCGAAATCCTAGTCTAAAGACTGACATACCCAGCTCCACAAGAGCAGATGAATTGGTAAACGCACATAGAGTAGGTCAACTGCGGGATCTTGTCCTTCAGGTTATAGGACAGTAGTGGTCGACTAGAAGATGCTGTCCTCAATACTACTGTGAAATCTTTCATTTATGGTTGTCGGTAGCCAAGTCGCCTCTGAATTCTAAGTTCATGTACAGCATTTCCTCGGTTACTTACGTTCATTCACATTTCACAAATTCTAAATGCATGTTCTTGTCTATAAAACATGTCAGAAATCCATTTACCATTAGGATTTGTTTCATAAGATGTAACTCTCCCTCCACAGCATCAGGACAACCTATGAGCCAGATGCGAGAGGTAAGTTTTTTTGTTGTCTTAAGTCGACATACTCATTGATTGATTGAACCAAAACATTCGGCTTCTGTTGACATACCGGCTCGTAGTACGGATGCTTCGACGATGTCCGAGGATTATTATTAATGTTGTTGGTGACTAACCGTGGAATCCAGGATACACATTTCGTACTATTTGGGATGTACCTGCAATCCCCAGTGGGTGATGATGTTCCCTATGGGATTCGAACTCATTACCCTTCGTTTCAGACTCTAAAGTGTTCTCCACTAGACCACTTAGTCCATGAGGTTGAATTCATTAAACAAAATAACCACAATATTTCAATGCTACAATGTGAAGATATACCCCTTTATGATTAAATTAAATATTCATCTAATAGACAAAATCCAATGAAAAGCTTCTTTCAGTTAAATATAATGATGACGTGGCTGAAATTTGAAATTCTTATACGTGATAATTATCAATGTGGAGAAAAAGTTGAATCAATGGCACTACTGAGTAAATAGGAGGATTTACCAAGTAGTAATTCAGAGGTCGCTGGTTCACATCCTGCAGCAACCGGGATTTTCATTTCACCATCCATCACATCAGTAACTGTCTGTCAACTCAACACTATCCCAGGTAATCTGTCTCTGTCAGTTGTCAAATTCTTACATACCAAAAGAAATATGCTTTCTTTAGAAGGACTAACAATGAGTTACAGGCAAGTTCTAGATCAAAGCAGTTTTTTACAACTACAGTCAATGTTGAAATTATGGTGAGTTACTTAGTTATTGAATCAGCTATAGTGAATAATTTTCACGACTAAATGTTAACAATAATGTCTAGTTAGTGATATAGGACTATACCATCCTGAGAAGGATGTTGAAGGTAGTTAGTAGGACTAGTGGTGTAAAACTCAGTCAGCTCGTCACTACATTAGTTGATAGGCATCTGAATACATACGAAAAATGGTCTAAAACCATACTCTCCGACCCCCAACACCCCCTCTATTCCCAACTCTCGCCTTGTATCTCATCAGGTAGAACCAGAAATCAGTATAAAATAATCTATGCTCGTACAACCAAGTACAGGAACTCAACGATACCATACTTGGCCCGTGATTTAAGTGACAGAGACAATGTTAAGCGTGAAATCTATGACTTGCTTTGTTATTAACAACATAATTTTAGGCTCTTTTATTTCTCTCTTATTTTGTATTCTATAGTGAACTCCTTCCCAAACATACTTAGCTACCTAAAATATTAATATTGGCTTACTTTTTTGTTCTTTACTGTATTCCTTCTTTTGTGTATCCAATGGTTCCGACTATATTAGCTGTATGAGTATTACAAAATTGTCCTATCATTAACCATCATATAATTATTAATTTTTGTGGTTGTTTTTTCTTATTTTTTATTTTTGTCGGCAATATTAAACTGACAATCATTGGTTGTGAACGCCATTGTCACCACCTTAAAAATTTTGTATTATGCAGGATTACTCACACTACTGCTACAAACACCGCATTCGACCTGGTAAAAAAACAACCCTGAAATGTTATTTTATGATTGTTTAGAGTTGTTTCAACCAAATTAACTGATCAACTTGGCGATAAACTTTCTTAAATATCATTTCATGACTTCTTGTATGACTATAGCTTTACTGTCACCATGCATAATCATATCATTGCTTCCACTACCCAATACTGAGATATTATTATATGCTGTTTATTTTCCTTTCTACTTCTTGATATTTTTTCGCATTTTTTAAAAATTATTTTGTGTTTGTTTTTTTTTTTTTTGCTGTTGTCGTCTTTATATTGATTTTTTTGTTAAAATACTCCTTTTAAACGTTGGATAAAATTAGATGCAAATATTGTAGATATGTGCTGAAAATTCCACACTGTACCACTAGTACTGTTTCTGGAATAAAGCAAATTATTATTATTATATAAAGAATAATTAGCTCTGATACACTTTATGAACATCGACTAGTATTTTCTGTAAACATTTTCACTCCTAAACAGTATGCCACACACTTTTCATTGAGCAGATGAACACTTAGAATTGTAATATAGTTTAAATTTGGTGGATGGTGATTAGCTGACTGGGGGGACTGCAGGTACATCCAGATGACGAGTTCCAAGTAGGACGAAATGCCTGTCCTGGATTCCACTACTAGTCATCACCATCTACCAAATTAATTCAAGTTAATCCTCAGACATCATAGAAGCGTCCGTACTCGCAGCCGATATGTCAACAGTGACTAGTCCAATCAGTCAACGAGAAAATCGAAATTGAATTTTAAAAAATTTGTAAAATGGGTTTTTTGTAGTATTTTTTGTATGAGATATTGTTATAAGTGTGCTCTTAGTACAGATAAAGGAAAACTTAGTCCAAAGATGTACCCGGACCGGCAATCTGTAGCCTAGGAACTGAGTATTGTATCATTCCAAGTAACTAAAAGTCATAATCATTATTAAACAAAATTAAATTGACTAGTAACCTCTAATGAAAGTAAAAAGCTTACCTTTACAAGATGATACAATCGTTTCATGTTTGCACGTAATCCTTTCGGTGGTTCAGTAGTCATCTTTATTCCAACTTGTAGAATAGAAATAGGAAATGCTGGACTTGGACTTGATGAAAGCCATAAACGAAAATCAGAATGTGGTTCTTCTATAGCTAATTGTTCAACAATCTTATCTAATGCAGGCATCCATGATAATGATAGATGACAATTAGCCAAAAATACCCAATTGCCTTCTTTGATACCTTCTTTAATTAATCTTGTTGCTATTGGTGATTGACCTTGACCCAAGGATAAAGCATGAAATTTCTTAACCATTCCACAATTATCAGCTAATTGTAAAAGTCCAGCCGTAGGATCTACACCCGGTGACAGGACAAATATTAGCGGTGTTCTTGTAGAACTATCATCAACTACTTGTTTCATATCTAATACTGGTGGTTCAACAAATCGACTGCCTAAATTATTCACAATAAAACTTGTTGCACAAAATGATAAACGATCTGGTCTCAGTGAACGTACAATAAGCATACGTTGAAATTCATTCAAGGTATTATCCCATTCTCCTGGTAATGGACTATTCTCTGGTTCAGCTGCTGTATACCATAAATTCCAATCTCTTGAATATTGTTCAAATGATGTAACAATACCATGGAAACTAGCTAATTTATCTAATTCTGTAATATTATCCCAACATTGTTCAGTTAACCATGATGTACAGGGATTATCAAATTGATTTTCACGATCTAATACAACCCCACCACGTAAAAAGAAATTATACTCATCTTGATTCACTTTACCAGCTGCTTCTAATATTTGTAAACAAATATGAAATGAAAATAATAATTTATGCCGTTCAAATAAACCACGACAAGTATAACGATATACAGCATAAGTGTGATAATCATTCAAGTGTAATATACGATCATCTAATTTTGCTGATTTAGGACTTTTATCAATACTTAAAGTGAATAAATCAATATAAGCTTCTAAGGAAAATTGATACATCGGGTCTATACGACTCATATCATTTAATACAAAGAATAAGATTGATGAACGTTCAGCACAAGGACGATAACCTTCACGAGCTTTATCAATTTGTACTTCTGTTTTTTCAGCTATGCGTAATTGTTCAGTTACTTCCTGATGAAAAAACAAAACAAAGTATTAGAAATGAAATATTAGAAACTTAAAGTGGTAAAGAAAATAAACAAAACCACTACCGTCAATTTTAACTACTTGACGTGATGCAGTTTGATAAGAAGCGTCCAAAAATGAAATTGACATTTTAATTCAATGGCTGCGGAGGTAAAAGTGTGTTTATTCCTCAAATCTGGATCTAGTTTCCGTAGGGGGCATGAAATAACCTCACTGGACAACTTGTTTAACCTTGAGCTAGTCATTAACCAATCAGGAAAATGTATTCTCCCCTGACCTAGCCGAACTTTAATGTGTCTGAGAATGTATAATGATGTGTTTTTCCTTGATAAAGGTCCGTTACCAAGTCGCTTATCTGCTCCCGTTACAAATATTTCCAGATGGATTTCCTCACGAACTAATATGAAATAGAGAACCATTGGAAAACAAGAAGCACTGAATAACTGTCGCATTCCAGTTTGGAGCTCTTCAGTAGCTTGGAAACATGTCTCCTAGTAAAATTCTCATATCTCTGAATACATAGGATTATGTTACTCTTTTAAGATTATAAGACAATATAAAATATTTGTAACTCAGAAAAACGATCTTGTTGTTGTCGCTTTCTTCTATCTGGATGCCTTAATCCTGCAGCTTTCGTTGTCTTGCTAACTTTTTGAGAAAACAGTAACAAGCATTAAAAACTATTACCAATTTTCAATAGTAATAAAAACTTTTTCAGCTTGAAATTTCCATAAGAATTGTATAGTTGCAAACGGAAATGAAAGCTGGCAGTTAATGAATACTAAGAAAGTTAATAGATCTACAGGCTTAACCAACACAAATATTCTTTTTCAAGTATTGGTTTTGTAAGGATTTAGTTTGACTGGATGGAGGATTTCATCATGAGCTGACATCAGTTAGAGAACCATTGGAAAACCTGCAGGGAGTACTGGACAGTTGTTTCGTCCTATTTTGGGACTCTTCAACAGTACGCACCCACCGGGGTTCGAACCCAGGACCTTCTGGTTACAAGGCGAGCTCGTAGACCATTGAGCCACTGGGACCCGATTCAATGGCCTGCAGCTTCTTGAATTACTCACCTGAAGTTGAATTACCATTATTTTCTAATCTCAATTTGTCACACAATATCACTGTCTTATGTTCCCATGCTTATCGAACTGGTGAGTAGTACAAACCATGGGATTTAACCACTTATCTTCAATGTATAAATTTACTGAAAGATGAAAATTTACTCAGCTGATGATAACGCATAACTGAACGATCTGAAAATTAAATTTCATCAAAAACTGATAATTGACTGTCCATTCATAATGGATGAAACAATAGTAAGTGGTTTTATCGACGTATCCTATCAATTCAAATTATGGGATTTGTGGGGATTTCAGCTGTTAGACTTCGTCATGAATCAACATCAGTTAGAGAGATCACTGAAAACCAAGGAGTATTGGATAGTTGTTTCGTCTTAGCTTGGGACTGTACAGCTGTACTCACCCACAACCCCAATAGAGATCGGATCTGAGACGACCCGTCCCAACTCCTTTTATTCAATTATTCTTAACTAGTTGTCGTGAGAATCTACAACTGAAACTAAATATTCAATAAATGTTTATTAGACTGCTTTAAAGTATATATGTATAACTTACAGATGAAGTAGTTTTTGATGTTTGCAGTGTATTAACAAGTTGTTCATCGTCTAACAATGAACCTTGAGCTTCATTTAATAATCGTAGAATTTCATCCTCTAATTCTGTGAGTTTACGTTTACCTGCAGCAATTCCCATAACTAAATTATCTTTTTGTTCTTCTAATTCAGGACGTTCTTTACGTACTACAATACCGAGTAGTTGAGCTTCTAATCCTTGTTGTTTTACAGCAAAATTTACAATTAAAGCTTTTGAACAGATTTCTGGTGTATAATGTGGATTGGGCAATTTCGTGGTAATATAAAACCTGGAATCGGAAAATTAAAAAAAATTTAGTTGTTAATTTATGGTCAGTGGGAGAATATTAAATAGTTAAAATTCAAAACAGAGTGACAAAGGTTTTTAAAAAGATTTTCAAGTATTGGTTTTGTAGGGATTGTTTTTTGATTGGTTGGAGGACTTCATCATGAGCTGACATCAGTTAGAGAACCACCGGAAAATCTGGGAGTACTGGATAGCTGTTTCGTCAGCCTAGTTTGGGACTCTTCATCGGTACTCACCCACAACAAGGGCTCGAACTCAGGACCTTCTGGTTACAAGGCCAGGGAGCTCGTAGACCATTGAGCCACTGGGACCCGATCCAATGGCTAGCCCATGAATTCTAACTTCTGCCAATTCACGACATAGCGCAACCACTTCGCAATGTCTTCTTCGATGAGTTACTGCCTCACCTTCAACCTGATGCACCCTACTGGTCACGGCTTCATACCAGAACCCCAGGTTAACTGCCTGAACAGGGTCAGTAGCTAATGAGCATCAGATTAATTTCCAAGTACTGGTTTTGTAGGGAATTTTGTTTGATTGGTTGGAGGATTTCATCATGAGCTGACATCAGTTAGAGGACCATTGGAAAATCCCCCTGGGAGTACTGGACAGTTGCTTCGTCCTAGTTTGAGACTCTTCATCAGTACACGCCCACCGGGGCTCGAACCTGTGGCCTTTTGGTTACAAGGTTTTTAAGAAGAATTTGTTGATTTGATCGATATCATCCACTTAGGAGAGAAATGTTGGTGAAATATAAAGGAAGACTGAGTTTTATTTTCAATTATGTATTACTTGTGACTTAAACCTGATGTTCCCGTGTTTGTTTGTTTGCTTGTTTTACTATGTATTTGGTCACGAATGTTTTTATACTGTTCTAAACTCTTATCAATAAAAGAATTCTGTCAGTTTTGAATCCTCTGTTTTTCTGCATCTAATAAGACAAATATAATCCCATTATGTTGTTTTCTGTGCCTTACAAGCAGTATATCAAGTCTCCAATAACACCCAGAGTAAATCAGAAGCAATGTAGTTTCTCACTCCTCTATCTGTAATCTAATATTAGATAAATATGTCTTCCTAATAAGATTATTTTTAATGTAAGAGTAAAATGTAGACGCTGTGATGGGGTATAATCCCATTTCAGATTTACAGTAATACAGCATCAATAGCTGGATGACGTTCCGAGAGCAATCTCTTGCTCATAACTTGTTTTGTATAGCCTTACTCCCACTTGTTTTTATTACACTTTTCCAACATAATATCCGGGTTGCGTCATTTCGATTGCAAGTGTTTGGTATTGATTACGTAAATAAAGATTCGGTGATTAACCTCTCAAATATAATATAACATATATATATATATATATATACATTCGGGTCAAGACTTAAGTAAATTGATTATACAGAAAAAAAGATAAAGATTTCAAATGTTTTAGTTTCTTTTCATTTTTGTTGTTCTGTTTTGAAGTGTTGCAATGATATATAGACCTAACTTTCTTATACATGTCATTTTTACACGTCTGTAAGTATTTCTCCCACCCCACTTATTGATTTATGACCTGATTTTCTCTCACCCTGCTTACGACCATTGAAATCCTATTGGTTGTTCGCCGTCTTAATTTGTCAGTGACATTAGTGCTCCTGAAGGTCATTTTAAACATATATATGCTAGCGCTGTTGTTTTGAGACAGTAAAAGCTCTCTTTCCAACGTCCGGTCTTCTCTTCTGTCTTTGCGTGAGTGCCGTGTTATTGTCATTGCAGTTATTGACGTGCGATTAGGATAGATCAGCCAGCGCATTAAGTTAGTATTCGCTCATAGTCTACTAGGTCGTAGTTCCGATCATTACATGCAATTTGAAGTAATGTCCACCTGCATGATTTTCCTACGTTGATTCTTCAGTTAGTCAAGAAGTTGACCGACAGAAAATCTTTTTTTAAGTGATCCAGTTTTCAAAACTGTACACTCATATGTAGTTCTGATATTTTCACTATATGTGAAAGGCAGTTTTAATACGAGTTGGAATCAAATCAACACAGTTAACGTGCTTATTCACATGACTGTTTACCACTTTGGGTAGCTGATGATAGGAGATATTTTACGAAGCCACTTAAGCACATAATATTTTCTGTGAACTAGTATTTCGACATATTTATTCCCTGTTCATCATGTCTTATACCTTAGTCTTACGATCCACTACCGAATAGTTTACATTATTAAATTACATTGCATCCATATAATCGATTTTGCGTTTGCAACTCATCATCGCAGTAACATCCTTTCTCCCTCTCCTTCACGCACATCCACACGCAAAATGATTCTATAATCTAGCAGAAATTATTTTGTTTCCTTTAGTTCCTAGAGGAACATAGGGCTTCAGCCGCACGTCTCTGTTGCTTTCAGTTCTACACCAAGGTTTTCACCTGGCTCCACGTCTGTCCACATGCTTTCGTCTCCTCTTCACATAAACTTCTACTCACCGCTTCCCATTCGTCTTCCACTCGAGCGATGGCCTGGCGTGTGATTTCACTCACTTGATGGTTTGTTTTCTCAAAGTATGGCGGCAAATCCACCTCCATTTCTTCCTGCATATTTCTTGCACAATTGGTTCCTGGTCGGTTTTCTCCCAGAGATTCCTGTCGCTGATCTTTTCTGGCTGGCCATCTGATCTTGAGTAGTGAGCGAAGACAACTGATGATGAAGGTTTGTAGTTTGTTTGAGGTGCTCTTCATGATGCGCCAAGTCTCTGATTGGAGTTGGAAATCCGGATCTTATTTTTCATGCTGAGGAGTGATGTTGATCTCCATACAGACTGGAGAGTAGTGAAAGCTTGTCTTGCTTTCCCGATCCTCACTTTGATATTCTCATCAGTTACACCCACCTGTAGTTGAAACGATGCTTCCCAGGTGGGTAGATAGGTGAAAGAGGTTGCTTCTTTCAGATTTCTCCCATTTATGCTGATTGTTGTTGCTGTTGGCCAGGAATCTTCATCACCCACCTCTGTTTTCTCTATGTTCACCTGAAGTCCTATCTTCGATGCTTCTCCTGCCAACTTGTTGCTTTTCACTTGGATATCTTCCAGTTTGTAGGCATCTAAAATGAACTTGTTGAAAACGAGAATCCTTTATAAATTGTCATCTTGATGATTCGTTTATGTTGTGATCAAGTAAAAAAAAATGCTTAAATGCTTTATTTCATTGTCATTTCCTTAATGTGTATGCAATAACATTCATTCTTAACCTAAAAGTGAATGGATTCACGAGTGAATATTCTTTTTGAAAAGTGAAATAAAAAGAAAAGCTAGGACTAACCTAAATTTATCATTATATTCAATTTCTTTATCTCCTAATTTCATAATCAATGTACCACCAACTTTAATCAAAGATTTTGTCAATATAGGATCAAGAGCTTGATCTAATTGTTCATGAACATTTTGAAGTACTACTGGTTGACCATATAATACTGCAAGTTCTAGTGTACGCATATAATCTGGTGTTTGTAAATCGATAACTTTCAAGTCTTTTCCTTCCATTGATTTGATCCATTTCAATGCTTGATTCTGTGGATCGACCATCAATGGCCATCTGCTACCACGGGTTACAATGACACCATTTTCAACTGAGAAATTATCACGTGGTAAACCTTGTATATTCCATTCTCTGACCTTTAGAAAGTGAAGAATAGAATATGACTTGAGAAATATGCTTGAGAACTGATTAAACAAATAGAAATAACCCTTTTCACGGTTGTAGTCTTTTTTGATAAAGTCTGAAAGGTCGAGGTGACTTTTTCCTTATAGATTGATACTACAATCATTTGCTACGAAATAAACATTTTAATAGTGCTATTGATATAAGTATAAAACTTGGGCACTGTGGTAGAGTGTAACTCCATAATGGATAAGATTTTATTTTCATAAATCACACAGGGTTACACAGTAGTATTAAATGATGATGTTTCGAGCACAAATTACTGCTCATAATCATATCAAGTTACTCACACAACTTTTTCCTTCATTTATATATATGTGTGGAATTGACTAGATATTTGAATAAAAATCAATATGGTTGTTATTGGTCAAATACAATTAGATGGGAAATAACACGAATGTTCTTATAGTTATAATAAGTAATTTGTTGGAATGTTGTGATTTGCTTGAATTGAAATAGAACTTTGAGATTATTTATTATCCTCTTCTGATTTGACTGGTGGTAATAATATCTTCCATATCTCTGGTATTTGCATCGAGTCATTTCTGTTGCATGTGTTGGGTGTAGATTCAATGAACCAGGATTCAGTAATCAATCTCTCTCTCCACCTACATAGATTACTTCTTAGAATCTTAACCCTCTCCCACCCTATTGTGTGGTTGTGTGTTATTGCATGTAGTGCAATTGCTGAGCTAAAGGACCCGGTAGACCCAATTAAACAAAGTAATATAATTTACAAAATACCTTGTAATGACTGTGAGGTCAACTATATAGGTCAAACTAGTAGATCGGGGATAATCAGATTGTCGGAACATAAGAATTTAGCCAAGGTAAGAATGGTTGACCCCGAGAAGATAAGTAATTTAGAAAAAAGCTCAGCAATTGCACTACATGCAATAACACACAACCACACAATAGGGTGGGAGAGGGTTAAGATTCTAAGAAGTAATCTATGTAGTGCAATTGCTGAGCTTTTTTCTAAATTACTTATCTTCTCGGGGTCAATCATTCTTACCTTGGCTAAATTCTTATGTTCCGACAATCTGATTACCCCGATCTACTAGTTTGACCCATATAATGCAGTTCAAAAGACTAGTTTTTCTTTTATTTCTGAGAAAAATGAATTCATACAAAATAAGTCCATCCTAGATAATTTTGTGTGATTTTAAAGTATTAATAATTGATTGACGTTTCGAGAACAGTTGTTAGGACAGAAGAATTTCCCTGTTAGCTGTGAAGTCATAATTTATGCATGTAATGTCATGATAGGCTGATTGGACAGTTTTTTATTTGCTTATTTATGGCTTCACTTTCTGAGAATCACGATGGATCAGATTGGTTTATTTATGGCTTGAATTCGTAAGGGTTTTTTTTAATTATATATACCATGTATTTCGACTAACAAAAGTTTATACGAATTTGACCACGGATTGATATCAGTTAGAGAACCATTGAAAACCAGCAACAGTACTGGACAGCTGTTTCATCCTAGTTTGGGAATCATCGGCAGTACGCACCCACTGGGGTTCGAACCCAGAACCTTCCGGTTACATGGCAAGCTCGTAGACCATTCAGCCACTGGGACCCGATTCAATGGCCCATGAATTCTAACTTCTACCAATTCGTGATTTAGCGCGACCACCATGGGCCATTGAATCAGGTCCCAGTGGCTGAATGGTACACGAGCTTGCCTTGTAACCGGAAGGTCCTGGGTTTGACTCCAGTGGATGCGTACTGCCGATGATTCCCAAACTAGGATGAAACAACTGTCCAGTACTCCCTGGCTTTCAATGTTTCTCTAACTGATATCAATCCGTGGTCAAACTCGTAAAAACAAATCTAATCCTTACAAACCAAACTCTTGAAAATAACAAAAGTTTGTTGTCACAGTTGAATATGACTTTTGTATCTATCTCATTTTTTTGACAGTGCCAATCACCATCAACGGGAGGGATTTGAAAGAGGTTACTTCATTCACTTATCTAGGGAGCATTGTCTCAACTACAGGAGGAACGGACGAGGATGTCAAATCGAGAATCGGGAAGGCGAGAAACACATTCATCAACCTAAAACCAATCTGGAAATCTTCGTCACTCAGCATCAACAACAAAATTCGGATTTTCAATACAAACGTCAAGTCAGTTTTGCTGTACGGATCAGAAACTTGGCGGGTCACAAAGAATATTTCCAACAGCTGTTGCAGACCTTTATCAACAACTGTCTTCGCTCTATACTGAAGATCAGATGGCCGGAAAGAATCACCAACAAGAAACTATGGGAACAAACAAAACAAGAACCAATCGACCAACAAATATGCAGGAGGAAGTGGAGATGGATTGGACACTCGCTGAGGAGGCCGTTGAGTGACATCGCGCGTCAGGCCAGTTCTCGAGTGGAACCCGAAAGGGAAGCAGCGAGTGGGACGTCCAAGGGTGACATGGAGGAGATCGTGTGATGAGGAACTGAAACAGTATGGAATAACATGGACGCAAGTGAAAAGAACAGCAGAAGACCGAAGCAAGTGGAGACGTGCAGTTGAAGCCCTATGTTCCACTAGGAACCCAAGGGAACAATAATAATAATAATTTATCTCATTGTGGTGATCAGGTGGTTGCAACGTCGTGTCTGGATGTGCATTGGGGTCAATTTAGACGACCACCATAAATTAGTAACACTCCGTCATAACATATTTTGGCGACGGTGATCATTAAAGTCATTGCCGTCATAAAAAAATGCATTGCTCATAATCATATCAATGTAATTCACGCAGCTCGATAACCACAGTGCCCAAATTCTAACCTTACATTATTCATACAAAGTAGTCATCGAATAATAATCAGTGACATAATGTCGTCAAAAATTCATTCATGTAGTACATTGCAGCATATAAGTAATAAGTTGTATGACTAATTATTTATTATTTTATTATTTCTATTTTTTTAAATTTTTATTACAGCTTGATTCCACACCGTATTTTCAATACAAGTATGGAATTTTCAGCATGGATATCGGTAGCCCAAATTTTGCAGGCCGACCATAGATATCGGGTGTGCGTCGGGAGGGGATCGAACCCCGGACCATGTGCATGGTCGGCGAGAGTCCTAACCACTGTGCCACCGACGCACACTGTCTGTTGCATAACACAGTGACAGGTTAATAGGCTTAATAACAACATAGTATTGAAATTAGTCTTCGAACCTTAGTTGATGACAGAGAGAAGATATGGAATTAATAGCCCTATAGTGGCAAAGACGCTACATAAATCAGTCTGTGCAAGTAAGCACTGATAACTGTCTTACTTTCTGGGGTTATATAAACTTTGCAACGATTTTTAAGATTGTATATGCTGCATTTTCTCTACAGAAATCGCCTGGTCAATGAAAGAAGTTAAGAATGCTTGTGACCATTTCGGTCAAATCTTGATCTCAATTCATATAAATCAAACCGTCTAATTATTAGACTGAGAAACTAATTTGGAATGAGTTTATTTTTCGTTGTTTTGTCTGTGCTTTGTTATTTCTGTAGCCATTGGACTGACTTTCCGGGGTAGGGTCGACAGTACCAAGCCCCAACCTTCCCTCTTTTTCCGAGCTTAGGACCAGCCAATAAACTAGGCGAACCAACCAAGAACCTATTGTCCGAAAAACATGCCGAATAAGATGGAGGTGGATGGGACAGCGTTGAGTGACATTATGCTCCAGGCCCTCGAGCGGAATCCGAATGGGAAACAACGAGTTGGGCATGGATCCAAGAGTGAAATGGAGGAGATCGTGTGTGGGGGGAATGAAGGCCTATGGGCAATCGTGGAGGCAACTGAAAAGACTACTAGTAACAATAAAACTAATTAGCTAAATAGGATAATGATCATTTGCTTGATAAGCTGCTTTCCTTCCTTTCTGTAGGAACAAGACAATAAATGAGTCAATTTTTATTCACAAGGGTAAATACGAAAATAGAAACAACACTAACTAACAATTTACTTACTTGAGTTGGATCAGCTAAAAAGTCTGTGAAAATGAATCGATCTGTAACGGGTACATTTTCACTTCTAATTAATCCTAACCAATTTTTCACTAATTTCTCACGATATTCACTTAAAAATGGACCCATATAAGATAAGAAAGCTGCAGACAATAAACAATCCCCAGGTAGTAATTCAATACGTTGTAACAGGTCAGCAACACTTTCTTCCCATCTTATCTTTTCACCAGCTAACCCACTGACTAATTTACTTGCTCTGTCTAACATTTTCTCTGTATGCTCAGCTTTTCTGCGTAGTTCTTCTTTTTGTTCCATCTATATAAATGAAATATGTTGGGGCAAAAAAATATTAAAAGATACTTTATGCAACACTTAAAGAAATCATCTCTATTTTATAATTCAGTGAAATGAGACAAGATATTTTCGCTAAGGTATCATGATTTATCTGACTAAGAAATAATCGTGTAACAGAAATTGTTCTTCAACGACTTCAGAGATAAACTATCGCATTTGACCACTTCTATGTGTATCTACCAATTTACTTGCTCATATGGAGCGAGATATATATGGGTCATTCGATGCGTGTTTTGTCCAAAAAAAGTCAAAGAACATTATCCCGCTTGCTTACGAAAAGGTAACAGTGGATCAATAAAGAGTGAACATATAGTCAACACTATTCACTCAATACAGACGGAGAATTCATTCAAATTCATCTACAAAGTCAAAAGAAGCCTCCCGAAAATGGTGAGCTTCCGTATACTTTGCATTGCCGAGGGCCTTAGCAATCCGGATAGAAAACTATGATTTATGCACACAGAAGAAACTTCTCCACCCCCTCCTTCTACCTTGGGTATAATTCCAAGTTCCACAACTTTGTTAATAATGATTTTTTTTGGTTTTCTGAATTTTTGTATTACATCTTAGTGACATCTTCTTAACCAACCCTTTATATACTCTTTCTACTCATTACGTAATTTACTCTTTGGATACGTGTCTCCATTAACATCCTATTTCATATTACGCAACCCCTGTCAATACTTACCAATCTTTACCCCCTTAGTTACAATTTTGATTATTCAACACATTTTAGAAACATTTTGATGACGTAAACAGTAACCCTAACTAATTTTTAATTTTTATTTCTTATTTTATTATTCAGGTAGGTAGTTACCTGGGTTCTAGTGGGGAGTCGTGACCAGTAGGGTGCAGCAGGTCGGGTGTGAGGACAAATAATCGCCGAAGACATTGGCTAGGGGTCACGCTATGTCGTGAATTGGCAGAAGTTATAATTCATCGGCTGTCCATTGGATCGGGTCCCAGTGGCTTAACTGTATACAAGCTCGCCTTGTAACCAAAAGGTCCTGGGTTCGAACCCCGGTGGGTGCGTGCTTATGAAGAGTCCCAAACTAGGACGAAACAGCTGTCCAGTACTCCCAGGTTTTCCGATGGTTCTCTAACTGATGTCAGCTCATGATGAAAATCCTGTAACCAATCAAATCCCTACAAACCAACACTTGAAAAGTATCCTATGATGGAACATAAATTCAACTTAGATATTTGAGCACACTGAGCAGGATAAAACGACGTCATTTTATTTTTTGTTGGATCCTGTCATCTGCCTACAACCATGAACAATTTTCTGATAATAATAATAATCATAGTAATAGCTCTATTCTGGTCAAAATGTTGACACAATGTTCACAATTCTCGACGGAATTTGCTGCATAATATTTCCTCTTTATCAAGGATCTTCACGTAAAATAACAATCCATAGTATGTCATGTGATGCAGCACTTTTCGATCTAAAGCACAGAATAACCCCTTATGGTATTTTTCTTTCGTCTTCGAGAAATGCGCAGCAGTAGTTTGAAAGGAAATTAAAAATGTGCGCAAGTATATTTTGTGACTCAAGGACATAAATGAATGGTTAGAACAATAAGAATTAGAGAAAATATGATGCAGTGTGTTGGGTGGAAACTTAGGTAATTCACTGATTCAAGCAGGCCTCCTTCATCAACTTGGTTTAACATTATTAACAATGTGTTTTCGGGTGTCACTGAATGTCTAAAAAACGTGTGTGAGAGTTTCAGTATCAATATATTCTTTCAAGAAACCGTACAGGGTATGAAGTAATTCTTGAATAGACATTAAGTCAACCATTGGAGTACCTACAGGTTTTCTCAACACAGTCAGAGAACTATATGTTAAACTGCGGTGAGAGCTGTCTGCTAGCCAAAATTGGTAGACAGCAATTTACGTCAATGTTTACGTTCCATATCTTGGTCGTGAGAAAAAAAAAACAAGAACAAAGATTAACTCAACAAACAATCACAGCAGACTTTGAGTGGGCGGGTACAATTCGCAGATATATGGTCTGACCTTCAAAGAAACGGCCACAAAGAGATGACAGAATAAATTCCAGCGAGAAAACAACCAATCAGAAGACGTTGCTTCTCTGCTAATAATAACGAATAATAATGTACATAAAATATATAAATATCTCTTGATTTCCTCAATAAATGATCTGTTGCCTGGCCTTTGTCTTCTGTCGTTACAAAATATCTGCGAGTATCTTAATCAGAGACACCAAAAGCTATTTGATGTTCTTTTCATTCTAGAAAATGAGCAGACATGTGTTTGAGAGCATCATAAACCTTTGTTGGGCGATTTTGAGCTAAAAGCCTTACATATAGCGCATAAACATAAAACAAGGATACTAATGTAACTACAATCAGTTTTAATCACGTGCGAATTTAATGTTTCGCGTAGAATATCACTGTACATCGGTGGTTCACCGGTAGAATACTCTTCAACCACGCGTATGGTTCGAGGTTCAAATCCCGGCTGACTCACTCCTAAACCTCACTAAACTAGTAAGAAGGTCGGCAAATAGAGAAGGTTGGGCGTGAGGCTAGAAACCCCATCCCATAAAACTGAAACCACTGCTACCTAAACTTCAAAGCACATCCTTGAAGACCTATGTTCCACTAGGAAAGTAAGGGATAAAATAATGTAGGATATCACATAAATGATGAGAATACAATTCAGTTTTCTTCTCTGACAAAAGCATTTATAATTACGAGAAGTATTAGTCAAATTGATTGAATCAACATACCTTTTCATTATACTCTTGCTGTAGTCGACGCATTTCAGCATTGACTTCATCAAGTTTAGCCTGGGCAGCTGCTAATTGTGCTTGTTTCTCACGTAATACTTCTTCAGCCTGTTGAAGTCTTTGACGTTTTGGTTCAACAATCCTGTATACCCGACCATAGACATCCATTGCTCTTACCCACATACATAGCGATTTAGCTGCACTAGAGACCTGCGTAAATTTACAAAATAACCAATATGTATTATATAACCAGTCAATAATTTACCAAAATTCAGAAACACATTAATTACCGAATGGAATGGGATTTATCAAATAAATAAATAAAATAAATTTTAGAGTAGGTTTTGTAGGTCGCAAAATAATTTCAACCATTTCTTAAGTTTTTATTCGTTAAACTCTAGAATTTAGCAATAAAATAAACTTATTTATTTTTCAGCTAAAGAAGTAGCTCTCTGATGTTAAACAAGAAATACCAAATGATAGAGTGTAGAATAACCTCTGAGTAGAATTACAGAATAGTGAAAATTGCATTCATAGAATTCAGTGAACTATAATTCATGCCAAGTAATCCACAACGGGAAACTCACGGAATCCTTCGAAGTGAAGACGGGAGTAAGACAAGGCTGGCTGCCTACTATCTCCAATGATTTTCCTGATTGCGGTAGACTGGATAATGCGACAGACAGCGGGCAGCGAGGAAACAGGCATAAAATGGACCCACACAAAAAACTTGGAGGATCTGGACTTCGCCGATGATATGTCTGATTTCCCACAAACTGGAAGATATCCAAGTGAAAAGCAACAAGTTGGCAGAAGAAGCATCGAAGATAAGGCTTCATTTCAGGTGAACACAGAGAAAACAGAGTTGATGAAGATTCCTG